GCCTTGCAGAGCCCTCCTTGGGGGCCGCTGCTGTCCCTCCCTCTGCCGCCTTCGCTTGATCTCCCGCTCCGCTTTCCACTCCCGGCCCCGATGCGCGGCACCACGCGCCCGGGGTGGCCCCCGCATCTGGGAGGGCGGCTCCCCGCCGTGACGGGCACCGCTGCCCCTTCCACCTGGAGCCTCGCAGCCGGCGACAGTCTCGCTTTCTTTCCAGCGAGAGGCAGATGTGGCCCGGGGGCTGCGGGGCAGTCCTGGTGGCGCTCAGGCGCTGCAGGCCGAGGGGAGCCAAGCGCAAAGCAGCATGGCAGGGGAGCCTGCACCGTGCCCATGTCGAAGGCCAGGGAAGGGCATGCGGCTGCTCTACCCACCCGCTCCTGGGCGAAGCTGCTGGGGCAGGGAGAGAGGGGGGTACAACCCCTCGCAGCCACTGTCACTCTTTTCCTCCAAGAAATCATCCAAACGGCGGTGGGACAGCAGTCCTAAACCTTTCTAGGCTGGAGGCATCCTTGGAAAAGGCCAGCTCTTAGTTGTGACTCCTCTTTCTTTTTTGACTCCAGAAAATGACTCTCTCGCTCCTGTTGCAAAGCACTCAGAAGGACCTCAACGGGGCATCATGTTTTTAAAAGTGTGGATTCCTATGTGCCATCTCTAGGCTTATTCTGCAAATCAAGTTAGCACTGTTCTCAGTGGTGCCAGATGATAGAACAAGGAGCAATGGTCTCAATTTGCAGCAGGGGAAGTTTGGGTTAGATAATAGGTGTCTGGCATCCCAGGGTGCCCTGGAAAGGATCTCAGGACACCCCAGGGTACCACAGCAACCTGGCTGAGAATCACTGCTCTAGCATGGGTGATTTGATCCTGATGGCTCTATTGCTCCTATCTTCCCAAGTGTGGCATTCAGTTGTTATACAGCAGAAGTCTGTTAGCAACTTTCTACATGTTTCGTTTCTTAAAATCACAGACAGGGTTGGGAGGGATCTCAGGAAGTCATTTAGTCCTACCATCCCAACTATATCATCCCAGCCGAGGCCTTCTCTAGCTTGGTCTTAAAAACTTTGAAGGATGGAGGTTCCACAACCTGTCTGGGTAACCTGTTACAATGCTTCACTCCCCTTCTCAAGAGATGACTTCTCCTAATATGTAACCTAAACTTTCCTTGCTGCAACTTGACACCATTGCTCCTTGTTCTGTCATCCTCCACCACTGAGAACAGTTTAGCTCCATCCTCTTTGGAACCCCCTTCAGGTAGATGAAGGCTGCTATTAATATGAATGAGCTAAATGTAAAGGGCGCTAACAGAAGTGATGGTTTGTTGTCCCTGAAGCACTGTACAGCAGTACGCTAACAGAAGTGTGTTTTAAAAGTGCCATATCACACGACAGTCTGAACCCTCATTACATGGGAGTTCACACAAAGGTTCTCCAAAGCAGAGCAGCATCCAAAGGGCACCTAGGGGAATAAGACACTTCTTTTCAGCCTAATGCAAGCTGGATTTCTCACTCCTTAAGTCACAACTACACAAGAAACTTTCTGCATCCAGCAGCAGTGCCCACAAGTACATTATGCTGCCTGAGCAGCTTGCCTCCCAATGTAGAAGCAGTTCTTTGTTCTTTTCTTCAGGCCAGCTCATTAATAGCACTGGTTAATTTGTCCTCAGGATAATTAGCTGCTCAGCAGAGCCATGCAGACCCAGCTACATTAGGAGGCAGCAAGGAGCAGTGTGGTGAGCTGGGGGTTGCTATTTGTCCACGTTACAAGCATAGCTTTAGCTTAGGCTATGTCTATACTGCTTCCACAGCACTCCAATGCACACGAACAGCAGGAACAGGTAAGCTGGGGCTTCCAGGGGAAGAGTATAGTCATGCCCTTTGGCTCCTTTGATAACCCCAACCAAAGACTGTGTCCTTCAGATTTCATTTCTTGAACTTCATAATGTTTGGGAATTCTTCCATTAGAAGAGGTAACTAGAACCTGAAGCAAGTATTCTTATTAGGTTACATGATTTTATTCCTGTTTTTGGCATTCTATTTATTGCCTTCATCAACACTGAGCTTTTGTGATCAAACAGCCATTTGATATTAGCTGTGCAGCTTCTGAGTGGAAACCAGAACTGCTCTCCTTGGACTACAAGTCTCTCATGCAAAGAAAATGAGATTTGTAGTATATTTGGAAACAGATATAGAACACCTGAGGGAAGGCATCCCTTAAAATGCTCATTGAAAACAGATTCTTAAACTAAACTCTTCAGCCCCTGTGCAGCTTTTATGCTGCAGTCTGAGAATTGTGGCTCTTGAAAAGTACTGTAAAATAAAGGGTGGATTGTATTAAGCAGAATCATGCCGTTCTACTTAAGAGAGCTCCAGAGCAGAACTAACACACTCTCCTCATGCACTGTAAGCCCCAAGGAGCAACTCAGCTCCCAGTTCTACAGGATTTTTCATAGGAACGTGAGAGTCCTGGCAAACTATCTGTCTATATTTCACTTACCTTTTCAGGTGCAGAAAGTACCCTTCATTTCCTTTCCCAGCCTGCTGTTTAATATTCATGAAACCTGTTAAACCATCGCTGTATTTTTCATCACAGGTGACTAGTGCTAGTGGTAGAAGCTGCTATATAATAGGTTGTGGGGAGTTCAGTAAATTCAGTCACTCAGTCCTGATATGAAGTGAGATAGGTAGACTTGGGAAGCCTGACCTAGATAAAAAGGTCAGTTTGCCAAACAGTTTCTCTTCTTAGGAACTTTCCCCTGTGCTAGCAATACTCTTTGCAACAAGGAAAAGAAGCAAGCTGCCTGATTCAAATACAGGAGGGTTTAAGAGCAGGAGACTGGGGAGTTGATGGGAGAAGAATACTGGGAGTTTTGGAGAAGAGAGAATGGAGGCAGGACAGAAACAAGAGGTAGGAGCTGGGGCTGAAGAACAGGAACAGAAGATGGAATATATAGGAGGAAAGCAAGAGAGGAAAAGAAGATGGTGTAGAGAAAAGCAGAAGAAAAGAAAAAATGGGAAGGAAAGAAGTTTGAGCATGTAGAGTTTAGGAACAGAAAGTGAGACAGGGATTGGGGGGTGGGGGAGAGAAAAAGAGAAACAGGATGAGGAAAAACAGGGATGGAAGAGTGTGCATTCATTGAAACACATTCTCCAGCAGAACTTAGAGCTTGATTCTAAATATGCCCTTTACTATTAGAGAACAACTGTGAAATGTTATGGGCTTCCGTTTAGTAGTAGGAGGATAACTACCTTCTCCTCTGTTAGGTCAAGTTTCTGCCATAGGTCCCCAAGTTCTAACCCCATCATTGGCTCATTTGTTATCCCAGCTGATATCTTCACACTATGGAACTCTTGCTTGTACAGTTAGGGTTTTGTGGGGGTTTTTAAACACTAAAAATTGCGTGCAAAATTGATATCAAAAGAAAGAAAAGTCAAGCAATCTAAAGTTGACATATTAAAGTACAGAATTAGAGTTAGTCTGTGCAAATTTAATGTAGCCCTACAGAAGATGTTTAATTTAAACCTGCAATTAATTATGCTTGAAAAGTCACATTCATGTTTATTTGTAGGCACAAAAGGAGAGGCTAGGTTTCATAGATTTCAAAGACATTAGGACTAGAAGGGACCTCGGAAGATCATTGAGTCCAGCCCCATGCCCGAAGGGCAGGAAGTCAGCTGGAGTCATAGGATCCCAGCAAAATAAGCACCTAATTTACTCTTGAAGGTGTTCAATGTAGGTGCTTGAACCACCTCTGATGGCAGGCTGTTCCAGACCTTGGGGGCTCAGACAGTAAAGAAATTCTTCCTTATGACCAGCCTGAAACGGTCTTGCAGTAGCTTATGACCGTTCAACCTCATCATCCCTTGGGGCGCTCTGGTGAACAAAC